AAACCCGTCACCTCATCGGGCGGCATAGTACAGTTTGCTATGTTGCCAGCTCACTCGTCCTGCTGAAATTTAAGCACGGACAATTTCGTACGGACTTATGCAGTTTGCAATGGAACTTCCTTGAGGAAATACAGCGCCTCCATTAACTAACAGCAATAAAACTTTTACGCAAAATTGTAGTGCACCTAAAAGCAATAATTGCTTATTGTTACTTTTTTTCAAATTTTGTAGTACCTTTTATTTAGTTCATGTTTATATTTAGTATTTGTGTGCTTTGGTGTGTGAATGAAATTAACTTTAAGCCTTTTGTTTCAATGCAAGTTAACTTTATTTTATTTCAAATTTTGCATTGACATTATTTGATGAAATATCTTTGTTTTTTTTTGTGTTTTTTTTTTCCAATATATATATATATCCCTAATAACACAGTAACATCGCAGAAACATTCCAGAAACATCCATCAGGGATAATGAAGACGTCCCTGGGAGGTCCCTATTTTCCTGGGGACATCCCTGGGATGTTGCAGGCAACAGCCGTGTCATCATTTGCGATGTCCTATAAACATCTCTCAGGGATGTTTCTAAGATGACGCGGGATGTACCTAATACATCCGGGGCAGGTGTAAGAAACATCCTCTATATGTTTCTAGTATGACTTTAATAGGTGAATGAATTTTAGGATTATGGATTAAAAATTACCTAATTCAATAATTTTCAATTTTCGTTCTATTTTCTGGAAGTCAGAACTTTTTCCAAAAAAAAAACAAAAATTGAAAATTATAAAATTAAGTAGGCACATCAGTTTCCAATAACATTTTTTATTGAAAAAATAAGGTACATGTATACTTATATTGATTATCTATCAACTAATAATAATCGACGGACAATTTTGCCTAAATAATGTAGTATTTATGCCCCGTCATGTCATCGAAAACCATAGTTTGGCAGTGGCAGCATGTTGTAGTAGGGGAGTTCGGCGTTTTCTTTTTTTGTTGGTGCTCCAATTTCATAAAGGTACCATTATCTAACCAAAACAACCACAGAACCAAAATCCAAAGTTCTTGAAGTACAATTCAACTTGCACACCTAGAATGTAATCAACTATGAAAACAAAAAATAATTATTGGTTATTTTCTCTTACCTAATGAAGAATGAAGTTCGGGTTTCTAGGGGCTATTTATCAGAAAAGTTAGAAATTTCCTAACCGACGCCATATTGAAATTAAATAAACTAAACAATTGATAGTTATGCGACGTTATCTTTCAACAAATAATCTTTCTCACCAACTAATAAGCACTGGTAGGTCGCAGAGATCCTTTCGAACACAAAATGGCACAACTAGGTGTAGCGAAAAACCACAAATTGACAAATCCTCAACACAGCACGACGCCATTACGAAATAAAATTCCGCCCAACAACACAAGCGTAGCGCACAGGACGACCCGTTCGACTGATTCTGCCCGTCTGCGCTGGCTGCGGCGCCGACCCGACGTGGTGGCGTGCCCTCCTGTCCTGACCGGTACAAGTACAAATGCCTGAGCACGCGCCTGCGCCATACACTTCGGCTTCACGAATATTCACGATGTTTGAAAGTTGAAAAGAGAGAAGACTTTTATCAATACATATTTTATTTTATTCCAAGTTGTAAGTCGAATGAAAAATTAAATATTGCTGTTGTTACAATACAAAATTAATATTAAGTTCCTTATTAGAGAGTTTTCGTTGTATTGGCAAATTCGAACGGTTAACCATAACGGATACGAAAACAAAGCCGCTATTTGACAGATCGTAAAAATAGTTTTCGTTCAATCCGCTTAACGTTAACGTTAAGTCGAATTCGACAAACATAACCTTTCTTTAATAGTTTGTGTTTATCATTGTGTTAATATACGTTTTGTATACTTTGTTTTAATTTCTTAGTACCCAAAATTCATTAATTTTCCCTGTAGGCTTTACAAAATTGGCTACTACAAAAGCCTATTTAGATGCATCGTCATATAGGAGGGGTTGTTGGCCAATATTTCTTCTAATGAAATAATAAATGCTTAAGAGAAGTTCGTGTCCTATTGGTATCCAATGAAGAGGGGTGATTCGTAGGTTAGGACAAAAAATAGAAGGCCTGTTAAGTCTTTACCAAGTTTCGCCCAAAAGTTTAGGGCTCCATCAGGGCTTGTACTTAAAAAATGATGTGGCCAGAATTATAAAAAATAGTGCGAGATTTTCAGGATGGAACACTCGATTGCACATAATATAATAAATAATATTGTCCTCATCCGTGAAACGATTTCTCGATCTTTTGAGGGAATTTAGTATCTATTTCGAAAACCAAAAACATTTAAAAACAAAAACAAACCACAACAAAAACATAGGAAATACGCATGCTTTCCGTTTTCGCTATGGTTTTGTCTTCCGTCCGTAAGCTCCCGGCACTTATCGGTAACGATAACGATAAATGCTAGCTCAAATGTCAAATTTGTCAAATAGCGGCTATCGGAATCGCTTTTAAAAGACAACGAAAACTCTCTATTATCTATATACATTACAGGTATATTATGGAATTTGAAATTAGTTTGTGTGTGTGATAGAGACATTTTCAGAAATCACACAAAATTGGCAAATTTAATACTGGGTCCTACCGGTCTGAGGTCCTACCTAGTTTTGTAAAATAATGTTAGCCATTTTTTAGCTGTAATAAGTATCTAATTTTGAGAACAAAAAATCTTTTTGTCGATAGATATTTTCGAAAGGATGTTTCTAAAACATTTCAGGACAATCATCCTAGAGATGTTACATTACAAACATCGCAGCGATGTACCATTTATGTCGGAAACATAAGGACCTTAATGGTACATAAATAGGATGTTTCTGGGAGATCGGTGTTATTAGGGATAATATATGTATTTTGTAGCAGTAGTTGTTTAATTTAATTGGTTGTTTATTGACGTCCCTTTACGCTTGATGGGCGGAACCAGGCCTCTAATTAAAATCAGTTTCATTAATCTCACTGACTCCCTAGAAAACAATCCCTCATTTAATTGGGCAGGAAAACGCCGCTACAACTGTCACTTGAACTAAAAACCAAGGACTTTTGTGCCCAAGTTGTAATTGTCGCCCGCAAGGGGATAGTTATCCCTTATGCCGTTTAGCTATCGTTAAACTAGCTCTAACGCGCAACATGACTATAATATCCATAAATTTAATACAAAACTTTTCATATTCAATATTTTATACAAAAATGTGCACCATAAAAACAAAATAAGCCATATTTATTTCTTATGAGAATTCCCTATTATTATAAAAGATTTGAACAAGTGGGTAAAATTGACGTATGAGTGGATAAAATTGACGTATGGGTGGGTAAAATTGACAAATGAGTGGGTAAAAATTGTTCGATTCCACTACTTTAAATAAAGTGTTACTTTAACAACGAGTTTTCAGTCGATTAAATGATAGTTTACCATTCGCGATAGAATAATGTTTATTTTAACTAAGCGAACAGAGTTTCGAATCACTTTAAATTTCAGAATTTAGGTCAAAATAAAAGTTAAATCATATTACTAGAAGCAACCTAGAAGTTACAATACAAGAAACGGACGAAACGATTTCAAAAAAAATCAAATATTTCTCGACTGGGAGCGTGGCGTCTCCTGTAATCCAGCCACTTGGAAGTCGGGTTCAGCGGATGGTTTGAGGTCGGGAGTTCTGGTTCAGGGCGTTCCGCGTCGACCGGGCGTCCACACTAAGCACGGCGTCAATATGGGTACCCCGGGGGAGCTCGGGGTAGCCAGGTTGGCCAAGGAGGGGCGAACCGGGCCAGGGGGGAAACCCAGCAGCCAAAAGTCCCCGCGTCGTGCAGTAGTGGGATCGCGCCTGGGAGCGGGAACTCTGTGCCAGCCCGATCAATACAGCTAGACCTGGACCTTTTTTTCTTTTTTTTTTCGATTTTTATTTATTTTAAAATAACAACAATACAATAGAAGTATGTTTAAACATTTTTATAACTATTTTGTCTATTATAATAAAATCCAATATCTATGCTGTAAGTTGGCATTTTGGTTGTGAAGGAATCTGTCATCTCTTTTAACGTTTTATGCCATCCTGACTCTAGGTGGCCAATCTTTGCTGAATTGCTTCAAGTTAACGATCATAGATGGTGCTAGTGGTTCGAGTCTCATGGACATCTATCATAAAACATTGAAATCGACGTATTTCATGACTATTATTATAGATTATAGGTCCATCAAATACGTGGTTTTTCATGTTTTATGATGGATGTTTACCTAAATCCAATATATTCAGATTTGAAATAAGCAATAGGATTTTAGAACCAATCCACAATAAGAAAGTAATTGTCGTCACTGTGGGTAATAGAGTCACTGTAGTCTGTAGAGTCTCCTACAGTGAGTCTCCTTCCTTGACTTCCAAAGAAAATAAAGAACATTTTTTGCGATGTATAGGTAACTACTAAAATATCTCCCAAGATGTGTCTCAAACTTTGAAAGGGGAAGCAACTATGGTCAACATGGAATTGATATTTTTCAGATTCTTTTCACAGTCTCATCTTAATTAACTTGTATTTGTACTATTTGTACTGTACTATAGCAAAAAATTTGGTACGGTACCTAGTTGGCAAATTATCCTAATCCTATAACGACCGGACTAAGGATAGCGGTCCGTAATGTCGCGGCCATAACATAACCTTGTTACTTGTTATTTTTGTTAGTAGTCACCCTTGTGTAGCGCAACGGCAACGATTCTTGATTCCTTTCATGAGGGCAAATTTCTAAGCGTTGTGGCAGGGGCGACAACCAAATTCTGAAAACAGTCAAACAGTCTCTCTCTTTTTGTGTAGGGTGTCGGTAGGGCTGTCGTCTGACCTGAGGAACACGAAACCAAAGTTTAGCGGCGTGTGTGAAAAATTTTTACTAGGCATTTTGTGCTAGGCATATTATTAATTTATATTGTGGTGTTTGTTTTGACTTTTTATTTCTGTATAGAACAATGTCGGGTAACAACAGATCTGTCTATGAAGGCTGGACAATGTACCAAGATAAAACTTTAATTAATTTTGTAAGCCAACATGAAGCTCTATACAACATCAAATGTAAGGACTTCAGAAAAACGCACATGAAGCTTATTCTTTGGCGCAAATTGGCAAAGCTTATAAAAGGTAAAACAGGTAGGTGTCTACGTATTTATTTTCACATAAGTAGGTTACTTTTTCAATGCATTAGTATACAGCATAAGATTCAGTAGTTTTCAAAATTGCCATCTCGGTTACCATGCTATGCTATCTAAACTTTGCTTATGTGGCTTATATTAGTTAAATTAGCTTCATATTCTGTATATTCATATTCAGATTCTATTAGGGTTGCCACCTTCTTTAAAAGTGAAAAAAGGACATTTCAAAAAAAAATTATAATGCAAGTAAAATGGTCGCGCAGGGGAGCTAAAAAAAAAGAAAAAAAAAACTTTCATATTTTGAGAACGTTTATTGTTTACAATACAATTAACAATAAGGCCTAGTTGTACAATTTGGTTCCCTAAGTCAATAAAGTGCGTTCCAAAACCCAGTATTGGGACTGGGTTTCTGCTTATGGGAGCGGGCTGCGCCGGTGCTGCTGTGAATAGGTATTTAAGCTCATCACGAAAAATAGTGGTATAGTATTTTTAATTTGAATTGAAACACTAAAAAAACATCTAAGCCGTATTCTCGCGTCCACTTTTTTCACATTGGTTCAAAACCAGTTTGAAACAGTCAGTGTACGGCTTAGATGTTTTTTAAGTGTTTCAATTCAAATTAAAAATACAATACCATAGGGTACTCCAACGAACTGTCAAAAACGGAATAAATATGACTTCTGTTGGATAAACAAACCTAAGTTTACCGTATCCTTATGAAAATTTGAGGTATTCCAGTACAATTTTGTTAATTTTATGTATTGTAATGCCCGCATTTTGCTGTGTGGTAAATTGTAGCAGTAGTGTTAGTTGCTCGGCAATCCTCAATCCAGTTCTCAACTTGTAATTAAATATAATAATCGCTTATTCTTTGAATTTATACGCCTGTGTAGTCTGTTATATCATGGTGAAGTCAGTTCAAAATATGGAAAACGCAATTAAATTATCAAGAAAAAATTTAAAACGCTTCGAATAGAACTATATGGGCAACCGGCTTGGTTCTTGTTTCTCCTGCAGCGGCCATTAAAACCCATTTGTTGAACTACTCTATTGAAATAGTTTTTAAAAAGGACATTTTAAGGTTTAAAAAGTCACAAGGACAATTTGTTTGAAAAAAGGACTGTCCTTTTCAAAAAAGGACAGGTGGCAACCCTAGATTCTATTACAAATATGTGAGTAAGTATTACCTAAGAGTATTACTGCAGCCAGAAAAGAGCACTGAAGTTATTTTTGAAATTTTCGTTGTATTGTTTTCTTAATAAAGCCTCAATATTTTTAAACAAACTACAGATATAAACATACAATAGCTCTTCCACTTGCTCTACCATATCTATTTATTTATTTATTATACGGGATAACCCCATTAACAGCAAAATTACAACAAAAAATAATAAATTGGTTAGGTATATACATTATAAAACCTACAGCAAGTAAGCGTTAACACTAAGAGAAAAACAAGAAACAACAAAATTTAAACTTAACGAAAAACAATCTAAGCTACCCAGAAAAGAAAAAAAAATATATACACATACTTAAGGAGAAAAAAAAAACAAAAATAAAATAGATTAACTATCAATCAACAAAAACAAAATTAATTAAAGTAATACTGCTCCACACCATTATTTTCATAACAAAACTGCCCTTTTAAAAATCCCTATCGATACATTAAAGACATCAATATCATGACAATTAATTAAAGACATATACCTATGTAAAGGGCTGTTAACCCCATATGTTGTCCTATGGAAAGGAATATGGAACACATTATTGTTGCGTAGACCCTGATAATATGGTACATTTAAACCTACATAATTCAAGAGATCTGGGCTGTCAATCAAGCCATTTACAATTTTATAAATAAAAACGGCACCAAACACATCACGGCGATTTCCCAAAGGACTTAGGGATAGTTGACGCTCAATATTATCGTAGTCATGGTCAATGATTGTAGGAAAATTATACCTAAAAGCACATATTCTCAAAAATTTATGTTGCACTCTTTCCAATAATGCAGAGTGAACATGAAAAAAGGGAGACCACACAACTGAACCATACTCTAGCACTGACCGCACTAAAGAGCAGTAAACAAGCCTCACTGATTCAACAGAAAAATACCTGCAGTTTCTATTAATAAAACCTAACATTTTTGACCCCCTTATACTTATTGAGATAACATGTTCAACAAATGACAATTTCTAATCGAATATAACGCCTAGATCCGCAACGGATGATACATACTTAAGTTGTTGACCTTCTATTGTATAATCTGTTCCGATTCTGTTTGGTTTCCTTGTGAAACTTATAAAGCAACATTTCTTTACATTCAAAAATAATTTGTTTGCCACGCACCATTCTATCACACGATCTAAATCTTCTTGCAGCATTTGCTGGTCGCAAATGGTCTCAATAGTTTTCCAAAATTTAATATCATCTGCAAATAACAAGCATAAACTATATAAAAAACAATCAACAATGTCATTAACAAAAATATTAAATAGCAGTGGTGAACAATGTCCACCCTGCGGTACTCCTGATGTAACAGAGATAATATCAGAGAAAAGCTGCCAATCTTAACCTGTTGAACACGGCCCCTCAAAGAACTCTCAAACCATAGAACAAGACCAAAGTTGAAACCAAACTTTTGTAGTTTTTGAAGCAATATATGATGATCAACTCGATCAAAAGCTTTCGAGAAGTCTGTGTAAATCGCGTCTATTTGCTTCCTGTTCTCCATGCTAAGTAAAATATCGGACTGATAAGTTATGAGGTTGGTTGCAGTTGACCTGCCCTCTGAGAAGCCATGCTGTTTTTGAGAAATAAGACCTTTGCACTGCCAATGCAATTGTTTACTAACGAGACAGTCAAACAGTTTAGGTATAGCTGATTGGATACATATACTGCGATAGTTCTTCACATTGTCCTTTTTACCGCTCTTGAATATTGGAACAATGTGACTAACTTTCCATTTGTCAGGAAATGTAGATAACTTCAAAGACTTATTATATAGTAAATAAAAATCCAAATAACGTATGTCTATCAACTTAGCGAGACAACTTCGAAAAATCGATTTTCCATTATGCCAAGAATTTGCCGCTTTTTTGCCGCTAATTAAATGTGGAATTAAAAAATTTGCCGCTCTTTTGGTTTTTTCTTAATTACGTGTTTTGCTAACTTGACGTCAAGATAGCGAGACAACATCACTAAATATGTCAGCATTAAAAAACTAGGTACGTGAAAATTTGCCGTTTTTTTGCCGCTAATTAGTTGTGAAAATCAAAAATTTGCCGGTTTTTTTTTTCATAAAAAATAAAGTTTGAAAAAAAAAATCATTTGTTTCGCTAACTTGACGTCAAGTTAGCGAGATATTATCACCAAAAATGTCGGTAGTGAAAAATTGAGTGAATGGAAATTTGCCGTTTTTTTGCCGCTAATTAGTTGTGAAAACCAAAAATTTGCCGCTTCTTTTTTTTTTCATAAAAAATCAAGTTTAAAAAAAAATCATGTGTTTCGCTAACTTGACGTCAAATTAGCGAGACATTATCACTAAAAATGTCGGTAGTGAAAAATTAAGTGAATGGAAATTTGCCGTTTTTTGCCGCTAATTAGTTGTGGAAACCAAAAATTTGCCGCTTTTTTTTTTTTCATAAAAAATCAAGTTTGAAAAAAAAATCATGTGTTTCGCTAACTTGACGTCAAGTTAGCGAGACAATATCAGTAAAAATGTCGGTAGTGATAAGTTGAGTGAGTGGAAATTTGCCGTTTTTTTGCCGCTAATTAGATGTGAAAACTAAAAATTTGCCGCTACTTTTCTTTTCATAAGAAAATTGCGTTTTTTCTCTATCGACATTTTTAATGATACTGTTTTGCTTACTTGATGTCAAGTTAGCGAAACACATACTATTTTTTTCGAACGCGATATTTTCTTGTCGAAAAAGAGCTAATTAGCGGCAAATTTCCACTCACTCAATTTATCACTACCGACATTTTTAGTGATCTCGCTAACTTTACGTTAAATTAGCAAAACATTATTTTATTTTCATAAGAAAATTGTGTTTTTTCTCTATCAACATTTTTAATGATACTGTTTCGCTAACTTGACGTCAAGTTAGCGAGACAATATCACTAAAAATGTCGGTATAGTGAAAAATTGAGTGAATGGAAATTTGCCGTTTTTTTGCCGCTAATTAGATGTGAAAACTAAAAATTTGCCGCTACCATGTCGGTAGTGATAAATTGAGTGAGTGGAAATTTGCCGCTAATTAGCTCTTTTTCGACAAGAAAATATCGCGTTTGAAAAAAATAGCATGTGTTTCGCTAACTTGACATCAAGTGAGCAAAACAGTATCATTAAAAATGTCGATAGAGAAAAAACACAATTTTCTTATGAAAAGAAAGGTAGCGGCAAATTTTTAGTTTTCACATCTAATTAGCGGCAAAAAACGGCAAATTTCCATTCACTCAATTTTTCAGTACCGACATTTTTAGTGATAATGTCTTGCTAACTTGACGTCAAGTTAGCGAAACAAATGATTTTTTTTTTCAAACTTGATTTTTTATGAAGAAAAAAGAACCAGCAAATTTTTGGTTTTCACAACTAATTAGCGGCAAAAAAACGGCAAATTTTCACCTACCTAATTTTATACTGCCCTTCGTTTTTTGTGATGATGTCGGTCAAACACGATTTTTCATGGTGAAAAAGAGCGACAAATTTTTGGGTTTTCACATTTAATTAGCGGCAAAAAGCGGCAAATTTCCACAGTTTTTCTCTTAGATTATATACAGGCTAACACCTAGATACACAAAGCATTCAAAATAAATTCAGCCAAGAAGGGGTCACAGTCTAAGCCCATGTCTTATACCAAGTATGCACTGATACGTTGGATACGTAGAAAAACCTGAAGCGATTTTTTTTTTAAACGATTTGATTTGTCATCACTTGTCCACGCGTGATTATTTGGTTTATGTAGGAATCAGCTTTTAAGGCCGTGCGTAAAAATT